AAGTCAACTTATGAACTCGCACCCTTCTTCACTGGAAGATCACAGAGAGAAAAGGTCAGGGTGTTCCAGATTGGTCTGTGGTAGAATGAGTAGTGGAAGGAAGTTGGTCTGAACATAGCTGTGTGTATCTCTCAAACTAGCCTCCAAAATACTGCACAGGAACCTATCATAGAGACAGTTAAATCAAAGGAATCTACCATAGAGACAGTTTAATTAAAGACTTGGGCCATCAGAGTCCTTGTAGAAAATAAGGGTTCTAAGTTTGATTGTGGAGGTCACAACCTTAGGAGTGTACAAATAGGATTCAAGATAGAGACCACCACGCTAGGCCCCAACAGCACCACCACCAAGCCCACAGCCAAGAAAGTCAGTGCAATGTCTTGGATACAAAAAATGGAAATAAATAGTAAAGGACTGACGAGGAAAGTGAAGGTTTCCTTCTATCCATAGAGCTAATCCTGCCCCTTCTACCACTATCAAATCCTTGAATCCCAAGAATAACATTTGCTCCTGAGATCACAAATATTTCCACTACTAGAATAAGGAAGGATTTGATGCAGTCTGGGGTATAGCCATGGATGATATAGATTGTGCATTGTGTAGTTCCCTGGGCCCTAGAGAGAACTTACATGTATATGTAATATATATAATATATATACATGTATACATGTAGCACTGTATCACTGTCCTCCCTTCCTTCATCAATTTGCTCGAGCGGGCCCAATAACATCTCCATTGTGAGTTTTGTTGTTACTGTTTTTGGCATACCAAATACGCCGCGGGTAGCTTGCCAGGCTTTGCCAAGCGGGCAAGATACTCTCGGTAGCTTGCCGGGCTCTCCGAGACGGGCGGAGGAATCAAACTCAGGTCAGCTGGGTCTGCTGCATGCAAGGCAAATGCTCTACCCTCTGTGCTATTGGTCCAGCCCCATGTATGCATGTATATGTAATATACTATATATATAGAGAGAGAGAGAGTGAGAGAGAGAGAGAGTCACTGTGAGATCACAGTTAACAGAGCAGTTTATTCTCAGGTTTCAGTCATACTATATTCCAACACCCATCCCTCCACCAGTATACATTTCCCACCACCAAAGGCCCCAGTTTCCCTCCCTAGTTTTCCGCCCCCCACCCCTAGTCTACCTTTATGTCAAGCCCTTCTCTCTCTCTCTCTCTCTCACTCTATCTCCCTCTCTCTCTCTCCCTAGAGAGAACTTTCTTTCAGAACCCTAGTATTTACATGGTCTGTTAAGGCAATTATCACTACTACCCTGACACAGAAAAGAAAACTAATGCTCTCACAGATTAAGTGAAGTGCAAGTCCACTCACCTGGTAAAAGTGGAACTGGGATTATAGTCCATATCTGATTCCAAAGCCACTATGTGTTCAATTATTTAGGTCACACAAAAGTTTCCAAGAGTATTTCTTTGTTAATTGTATTATTGATTCTTTTCTAATATGAGAACAATGTGTCCCAGGAGACTCAGATTCAATTAGCGTTGAGGACCCTCTTACCTACTCCTATTGCGCTCCTACATTCCACATGGGATCCCAGTCATGTTGACCCCTGCCCTGTATTCTCTTCCAGGAGCGCATACCTAGAAAAGACCCTTAGGATGTGCTATTTATTCATAATAGTTTCAAATACCAAAGATCTAACCCATATTCACCCAGGCTGATGGGCGCGACTATGCAAATGGACAGTGTTTTGTGCAATTAAAGGAACAATGACACTACAGGATGAAATTCAGTTTCAGTGGAACACAACATAAAGAAGTCAATTATCTAGCATTAATTATTTATTTGTGGACAATAACCATTGTGTGATCTACCCAAGACGGCGCTGCAGCATAGGACAAGAGGGAAGAAGTGGTTGTTATTGTCTGCTCATAATGCAGCATCAGATTGGACAAATTAACCCCTGTGACATTCTGTAAATACACATGGGCCTTTTCTATGAGTGTGGCCTGTGTACATACCCCCCAGAATACATCCAATTAATATGTTGTGAGTCTGTTAATCATGTTCCCTCAATGATCTGGACAGACCTGGCAATGCCAGAATGTGAATATATGAAAGAAAGGACCATTTTTTTGTCCTCTGGAGCCATGATGCCCATAACAGAACTGCAATACAGAGAGCATTCGACACAAACATTTTCTCAGGCTGCCATGTTAATGACAAACTGACACTCTTGAAATCATGTTAGTCTGGGGATTTCTTCCCAAGAAATTTGCTTTATGATGTCTATTAAAATCCATACACTGCCTAAAAAAGAAGATTCATCAGATATATAAGTCATTTTCATGATAATTTTTAAAATTACTATTCTTAAAACTTCCATAGAGACTGGAGTGGAAGAAAGAGAGATTGGTGGTTCTCAGAGGCTGAGATTGGATCTACCTTGAGAAGAATTTAATGTCAGTTGAGCAGTTTCTGTGTGCAGGAAGGTGCTTTATACATATTACTTTAAAACCTCAAAAAGAGATGTAAATATAAATAGCACCCTTTTTTTTTTTTTTTTTTTTTTGCTTTTTGGATCACACCTGGCGATGCACAGGGGTTACTCCTGGCTCTGCACTCAGGAGTTACTCCTGGCGGTGCTCAGGGGACCATATGGGATGCTGGGAATTGAACCCGGGTCAGCTTCGTGCAAGGCAAACGCCCTATCCATTGTGCTATCTCTCCAGCCCCTAAATAGCACCTTTTTAATAGGTAAAAAACACTAAAGGTTACAGCTAATAAACTGCAGGCTAAGATTCAAATTGAGACTCAGGACTTCTCACCACTGCCCTAAATCACCCTGTGAGGACAACTTGACCTCCCCAACACAGGCTCTGGTCTGACTATCCCAGGACCTATATTCCAAAGTCTTAATGCCAGAGCTGCAGCTGTCCATCTGCCTCCAGAGTTCTGGACCATGGCTCTGGATAGGATAGAAGCAAGGAAGACTGAAAATCCATTTTATCTAGTTCCACATTTTCCTGGTTTAAAATATTACACTATTTTGGATATCTTTGGGCTGGAACGATAGCACAGCGGGTAGGGCATTTGCCTTGCACGCAGCCAACGTAGCTGACCCGAGTTCGATTCCTCCGCCCTTCTCGGAGAGCCCAGCAAGTTACCGAGAGTATCTTGCCCACACGGCAAAGCCTGGAAAGCTACCCATGAGGTATTCGATATGCCAAACACAGTAACAAGTCTCACAATGTTACTGGGCCTGCTCGAGCAAATCGATGAACAATGGGAGGACAGTTACAGTGATGGATATCTTTGTAAATCACAGTGCTTCAATAAAAAATTAAAATATAGAATTTTAATATGTAAATATATTTTATGAATAAATAAAATATGTGAATATATATATAAGACATATGTATATAATTATATATATATATAATGATACTGCAACTGGCTTTCTGTTTCTTTATTTCTTCAGTGAGGTCAAGTGCTGGTCAGGGGAGAAAACTACGGACAAACTCCCTAAGACCACCAACACAGAGAGCCACAGTCCACACTTCTTAAATGAATGCTCCTCTTTTATAGCTCTCACAGCATGGCAGACATGTCTATGTTAAATCATCTGATGCACACATCAGCCCTGTTAAGTACTGTTAGTATCTCTGTTAAATGCCTGGAGGAACCAAGGAGCTGATAGTGTTCAGGAAATTGCATGAGGAACATACAGATCATAACAGGTAGTGCCTATCATTGAATCCCAACAGTCCTGTGTTCAAAGATGACCTGTCATTCATTTCACGAAAGACAACCATTCCAGGCCCCGAGAATGTCTCCTGAAAGAAGACATCTGGATAGAACTTATATGGAAGGGTATTTAAGATTCATATGATCCCTAACACTCAGCCTTGGGTTGGACAGAAAATTTTTAGTTAACTTTCTAATGGTGTTCTTGGGTCTCAATAGTAGGCGTGAACTGTATTTTTCACAATAACTTTGGGAGAACAGTTTATAACAACACCCTCATTCAGCTAACCCTGTCTTAGCAATCATTGAGCAAATATTTAACTTTTTCCTGATTTTTAAAAGCAACGCATCTCAAGAAAAAAAAATAAACGGGCCTCAAAAATAGAAGAAGAACACTTGCATTTGGTGGCAATACAGCAACATTGTATGTCTAAAGCATAAATATTTACAAAGAAAAAATACAGAAATTAATATAGGAAGTTGAGTTCTTTGTTTTCAATTGTGTGAGTGTGTGAATGTGTGTGCTTGTGTTGTAGGGAGGGTCACTGATAATCAAATCAAATAAAAAATCTTCTATTACAGAATAGAAAGGGTTTAGTTTAGCAGACTAAGGGTTTAGTTTAGCAGGTTTTAGCAGACACAGATTTGAAGGTAAGTAAAACAAGTGGAGGATGTCTGGGGTGAGATGATGGAAAAAAACTGACTTTTGATGGAGACCACTCACACTGTCACTGTTCTCCCATTGTTCATCGATTTTCTCAAGCGGGCCCAGTAACGTCTCCATCGTGAGACTTTGTTGTTACTGTGTTTGGCATATCGAATACGTCACGGGTAGCTTGCCAGGCTTTGTCATGCGGGCAAGATACTCTCGGTAGCTTTCCGGGTTCTCTGAGAGGGGCGGAGGAATCGAACTCGGGTCGGCCATGTTGGCTGCGTGCAAGGCAAACACCCTACCCACTGTGCTATTACTCTAGCCCTTGATGGAGACCATTATGCAATATTTACAGATGTCAAAGTAGAAAGCCATATACCTTAAACTTGTATCATCACATAAATCAATTTTATTTAAAAAAATTTAATGAGAAGCTAAACAAAGCTTTCCTCACTCAGAGTCTCTGCATAACACAGCCCAGTCCCACCCACCTTTTGCTGTGAATGTGGTATCCCCAATATCTTGTTGTAAATTTCTTTGTAGAAAAACAAAGTCATCTGCAGCTTCAGGAGCCTGGGGCTGGGCCAAAACCAAAGTCCAGATGGGGCAGACATGGTCCTGAGAAACTCACTGTGGGACTTACCGCTGACCCGGCAAGGGGATGGAGTCCAGGTGGCGTCCCCCAGGTAGTGCCATCATATTGATCCCAATCTGCAGCAAAGCCTGCCCACAGCGGTCTGGGCTCTGGAAAGAGAAGGCAGAGGCTCTGAGAGAGAAGGTGCAATTTCTTTCTCTCCTAGATCCTGTTCACAAGAAGTCATGGTAGCTATGGAGGAAAATCTCCCTGGTCTTCCTCTCCTTTGTGAGACGTTTTACACTTACTTGTCTTCACATTTGTAATGCAAGACTTGGTTCTAAGTCACCAGCCCACATTGAAAACCCTACAATCTTTATTTAGATCCCTATGGCAAACATTCACTAGACCCATTTTGTTTTGCACCAAATAATGGAAAACAGACCAGCAAATATTGCATACCCTTGAAAAGTATTCATGGTAGATCTGAAATTCACATTAATTTGGTTCTCTTATATTTCCTAGCTATAAACTATCATAAATTAGATGTGTTGACTTTGATTATGTTGAGAGACAGAACTCTGTTACAGGCACAGTGTTTGCTCCCCCAAATCCATTCAACTTCATCTTCAGCACATATATTTTCACACAAACTTCAGGTTATTTGTTCAAGAATAGGTATATGATTTAATTCAGACCAATGTAACATAATATTATTGCTTGAAGGAATTTGTTTCTTTTCCCTATCTCTGAGTTACAAGGATGAGACTATCCCTTCCTCCAGAAACTGAACCAGGAAGCACATCACTTCAAGACTGCAAGAGATTATCTCATGATCAAGAGAGCAGCTCCCTGAATAAAAAAGTAGGCATACATCATGTCTGCCCGGAGGGGAAAGGGTGTTGCCCCATTCGCCCTCTCTTCTCTGGAAAGAAGGATGGCAGCTGCATGGGAGCCTTGTGGACAGCAGGTATGAGCCGGGGGTGTGGGGGCGACTAAAACCTCATGGGAAGGGGAGCGTTCCAGTCCATCCTTCACGCCCTACCAAGGTCACCAGTTGCCCCCCACGAGCGGCTACCCAGCACAGCCACAGCCCCAGAAGCACAAGGACTTAATGCAGACCCCAGCAGCTTGGAGCAGAAAAGTGAAAGGACTATGCGTTAATCCAGGCCATCATGTCTGCCCAGAGGGGAAAGGGTGTTGCTCCCTTCCGCCCTCCTCCCTCTGGAAAGAAAGATGGCGGTCACATGGGAGCCTTGTGGACAGCAGGTATGAGCCGGGGGTGTGGGGGCGACTAAAACCTCATGGGTCAGGGGGCGTTCTGGTCCATCCTCCACGCCCTACCAAGGTCACCAGTTGCCCCCCACGAGCGGCTCTCCAGCACAGCCACGGCCCCAGAAGCACAAGGACTTAATGCAGAACCCGGCAGCTTGGAGCAGAAAAGTGAACGGACTATGCGTTAATCCAGGCCATCAAGTCTGCCGGAGGGGAAAGGGTGTTGCCCCATTCGCCCTCTCCTCTCGGGAAAGAAAGATGGCGGCCGCATGGGAGCCTTGTGGACAGCAGGTATGAGCCGGGGGTGTGGGGGCGACTAAAACCTCATGGGAAGGGGGGCATTCTGGTCCGCCCTTCACGCCCTACAGAGGTCACCAGTTGCCTCCCCACGAGCGACTCTCCAGCACGGCCACGACTCCAGAACACAGAAACCAATTTTTTAACTATATGACTTTCAGTAGAAATACTTCCAGGGTCAATAGGTAAAATAGCAGAAATCCAAAACCAACATTTAATTCTTGAACCCAGCTGTAGAAAGCAAATCACTTCACAATGCTTTTTCAGCATGTCTGATTTGGGGGGGGGGGGTAAACTCTAAATAATAGTGGTGAATCTTTTCTTGAAACAGTGAATCTAATCAAAGCAGATAGAGTGTTAACTAGAATTCATCTGCCTCACAGGGACTGGGAGGGGTGGGGGTGGGGTTTTATTGGGGTTCTTCGTGGTAAAAAATAAGTATTGGTAAAGGAAATATGTTTGATATTTGCATGACTGAGACCTAAACCTGAAAACTTTGTAACCTTTCCCACAGTGATTCAATAAAAAAAAAAGTAGGCATAAACTAGTATCTGTGTCCCTGATCACAGAGCCATCATATCAGCCAACCCTAACATCTGGCCCATCTCTTCAGGCTTCTTGTTATGTAAGACAGTAGTGCTTTTACTATTTCACTCATGTTTAAGAGAGTTTTGTTTTGTTCAACCCGAAGCAGCGCAGCTGGAAAAAGTGAACCAGATTGGAGGTTTCCAGTCTTTGTACTAAGTCCCATTTAGCTCACCTGGTCCTCAAAGTTTGGACCAAGAAAATGGCCTCCTACTCCTTCATCCACAAAATTACTCACTCCTTGGTTTCCTCTTGTGTTCCCAGTCCCTGCCTCATCCCTCCCTCTCCGCCAACTTCTCTCTGAGACTCTGAGGAAGCACCCCCACCAATGAGCATGAGAAAAGCAGATTTCAAGACATTCAAAGAAAATACAAATATGAACTTGTGGAAAAATACAACTGTGGAAAGATACCATCAAAAATCAGGAGAATAAAACTTGTATTCCATGACTATAAGTGACTCTTCAAAGAGCGGAGGAGGACTTCCGGTAAGAGAGATGTAGCAGAACACAAAAGCCCTTCTGATGCTTGGGATAAAAAAATGAAAGAGCCCATCTGAAAAGTAAGCGGGGGGCAAGGTGGGGGGAGGCACTTACTGGAAAGTTTAGGGAGCCTGGACTAAACTAGGACATACACTAATTGCAAAAACTCATGTCGTGCCTACTTCCTGGTTTGAGGGACTTGCTAGACTAATAGTCCTATAAATGCAGGGACACTCGCCTCCATATTCTTGGCACTGAATCAAAGGCTAGGCAGCTAGCAAGTCATTTATGTGCCTGTTTAAAGAATTAGTGGGATAATTTTTTAAATACATTTTTATCAAGTCCAATTTCTTTATTTGAAACTGAAAATAGTTTCTATTTTGTGAAATTATTATGATAATAACATAAGACGGGAAATCTAGACATAACAGACCAGGATGTGAGCTAAGTAAATAACACCTATGATTATTACTATTATTTTTATTATTATGCACTGACAGTCTATTGTGTGCTCAGCTCTAAATTAGTTATGTTAAGGGAGATGCAGAAATTGAAAATAAGCAAATAAAAGACATAACACAATGATCACACACAATGAATGCTTATTATCACCAGGAACATTGCCACTGTTATGTCCATCATTATTATTATCATTAAGGAGATGTATTTTTGGAACTTGGTCTATCAGTAACTGAAAAAGAAAAAGCTAGAAACAACAGAAAAAAGAGAACTTTTCCTTTTGTATATGTTTGACTAGAGAACTAGATAGGAAATAACAACTTCTCAAAGTTAATGCTTTGGATGTGATCAGGAGTTGTGATTTTTCTTCTATCACAGAAAAGTGGGACGAGTGATACTATTCAAGAGAGAATTAAAACATGAGACAGATGAGGAGGCAGAAACAAGAAGGAAACTCCAAGTTCCTTTAAAGAGGGACATAGTGTTCTGTGATGCTCAGGTTGTGGGCACCTTCAGGTTGTGGCTGAAGAAAATTGTCATGAGCATAAGTTGAATGCAAATAGATAATTATGAATTTCTTAAGAAGTAGACTATAGAGCTGTAGAAAGAGTATAGCTCTAAGGCATTTGCCCTGCATATGGCCCACCTGGGTTCAGTTCCTGAGCACAGAGTCAAGAGTTAAGGCCTGAGCACCCTACTTCCCCAATCCACCCAAAGAATAGTCTATAGCAGCACAGTGTGGAGTCTATACAATTTTAGCACTTATTCATAATCAATGATCTGTGAGTCCTTGAGACAGAAAAATGAACACAAATAGTCACTGGCACACAGAAGAAATGAGCCACATGCAAAAGATCTACTATCCTTTTGCCCCAGAGCTTATTGGGTTCTGAGATGAGGGGAATACAATAAGCTGGATATATCCTGGGTTGGTGAAAGCTCCCTTGGTGAAATATCCTTCATAGCTCTTTCACCCAGAGCTTCCCAGAAGGTAGTCCAGGCAATCTACCAACTAACAAAACCTTGGTCCAGGCTCTCTGAAAAATGCCATGTTTCTTGGGAACTCCTGGGCTACATCTGTGTCACTGTCCCATTCTCAGACTTCATTATTTATACCTGCCCCTTTCTTCAAGAGGACAGATATCAAACTCCTTGATATCTGAAACTGTATCTTAACGGGTGCAAGACAGGGCACCCGACCTCACAGTGACCTGCATGGCTGAAAGCTGGGATTGAGAATCAGATTAGATCTCAAAGGAGTCACAGCTCCTATTCACTGAGGCTGAGCTCTAAGAGGCTATCTGGAAAGTGAGACAGGTAATATCAAGTGTTTAACCCCAGGGATGTTTGTAAAGAGCCTCTAACAACAACAATGATGCTGATGCTGATGATGATGATAGCAGTTAACATTTATTGAGTGTGCACCCTGAGTCCTGCAGGCACTGTTCTAAATGCTTCCTGTAACATTAACTCATTTAATGACATCACCACCCCTTGTTACAGAACCAAGACCTCGGAAATTCAGAGGAAGTACATCCATTGCCCAAGGCTACACATCGATTCATAGCCATTCGGTTTAATGACCGGAAGTGGGGTGCTGGAACAGGTGAAGATCATGAGGAGCAACAAACAAGCTCCAAGTGTCCAGGGGTGGTTAACAGGCAGTCTGGCTCTATTCTAGGACACCAATACCTCTCCCCACTTCTTCCACCGTCCCACCACTGCTCCTGTCTTCCATACTGGGAGTCTTCCAGATCCATTTAGTGTTGACCCTCAATCATAGTAAATCCAGGACAGTCTAATTGGAAGAGGAAGAGGAAGAGGGCATAGACATGTGTTCTGCTGCTTGGGTGCCCTACCTTTGGGGAGAGTTGCATGGATGGAGCACAGATCAGGAAGGAAACTCCACAGTCCCAGCACATCAAAACCTCGGAGAGTCAAAAGCTGTATAGAGAGAATTATCCAGGATGCTGCCCTGAGCCTGGCTTGTTCCACAAAGCCAAGATGCAGAATAGAACACCCCCATTGCTACATGGCAGGTCATGGATAGATAAGAAGTTGTCCCCCAAAGTC